CATCTCTCCGATGTATACAGAACTGTCTAGACGGTACGATGGACAGATAGAGAGTAACGTTTCTTTCAGCCATCTCTCTGATTTATACAGAACTGACAAGAATGCACAATGCACGGACAGAGATTTGAGTTTCATTCAGCCATCTTTCAGATTGATACAAAACTGACTCGAAAGCATGATGGACAGATAGAGAGTAGGGATTCTTTCAGCCATCTCTCCGATTTATAAAGTAATGACTAGAAGGCATGAGGAACATATAAAAAGTAGGGTTTCTTTCAGCCATCTCTCCGATTTATAAACTAATGACTAGAAGGCACAATGGACGGATAGAGAGTAGGGATTCTTTCAGCCATCTCTCCGAGCTTTTTTAACTATCTAGGGAGGGATGGAGAGCACTCGTCTTAGACCTTTCCAAAATATACTCTAATTGGGACTATAAAATAAGCCAAGAAAAAAAGTCAAATAGAATGAGACAGATTTTTAGAAGAAGAGAAGATTAATATATGAGAGAGGGAGCGAGACCAATAGATTGACATACTGTACTGAATAGATCTTAAATTTGTATTTTATGTTATTATTGTGTGTGTGTAGTGTGCGCAAGCACATGTATGTATGATTGTATGTGCACTAAACCAACATTGTACCAGAACATTTTCTTGCTGTAGTGTATGTTAATACGGCTTATTTTACTTTTTTAAACGTTTTTTTGATTTTGTATTTTAAAGTTAGCTTAAATAGATTTTTATTTGTAATTAGCACTCGTTTGGGTATCGTTCGTTTGTTACTATATTTAATCAATGCTTTCGTCACTTTGTTATGTACTGTTTGTCGATGAGCCTTATTTTAAACAATATCTAACATTCTTTACACCTTGTAACGGTAAAAACAGTCAAATTAATTGTAGATTAATTTGATGTAAATTTTCACGCAAATAGTATTTAGAGCTAAAGATTTTTTTAAAAATGTTATTGATAGACAAGCATATTTCCAAAAAAGAAAATACAATTGCTCACATCGTCTTGAATGGTATTAAAAACAAGAAACTATTTGAACATGTTACTTAAACTTTGACTTAACTTTGCTCTTTACATGTTTACAATAAGCGGCTTTCAAATATGTGTTTTAAAAAAATAACACTGAACAAAATTGAAAGAACTTACCACCAAGACACCTATCACTGGCCCAATGAATGCCCATATCAGGCCGTTTTCAATGTTTAGCCAACAACTGAAATGTATGAGGGAAAATATGTTTACCATTGAAAAATCTATACAACACATGTTAGGATGGTAACTACTAAATTGACATCAACATAAAAAATGACGTCTCTCAATGGTATAACATTGGCAACTTAAAGAGGGACCACTGTATTAGGTATTACATATCAACTTATTAGATTACCAATGTATCATGTATTACATCAGCAACTTCTGAGATGAGCACAGTATTAGGTATTAAATTAACAGCTTATAAGATGACAGTTGTATTACGTATTACATTGACAACTTATTAGATGACTTCTATCTACAGTTTTAAAGTTGAATTTATATAACATGACTACTATCAAAAATATTACATTACATTGTAACAAAATGATCACTATCTATAGTAATAAATTGACATCTTTATAAGATAACCACTATCCATAGTAATAAATTGACATCTTTAAAATATCAGACGGTTACAAATACAGAATTCTGAAGGGAGACTTCAGCAAACACTTCATTAGGGCTGGGGTCAGGTTGTGGGATAAATGCAGAATTCTTTAGTGATGGGAGATTTTAGCAAACAATTCATTTGGGCTAGGGTCAGGTGGTGGGGTAAATAAATAATCTGTAGTGATGGGGAGAATTCAGCAAACAATTCATTTGGGCTGGGGTCAGGTGGTGGGGTTAATACAGAATTCTTTAGTGATGGGGAGACTTCAGCAAACAACTTGTTATGGCTGGGGTCAGGTGGTGGGGTAAATGCAGAATTCTTTATTGATGGGGAGACTTCGGAAAACAACTCGTTATGGCGGGGGGTCATGTGGTGGGGTAAATACAGAATTCTTTAGTGTTGGGGAAGAGGAAGGTGGTGGGGGTGTCGTACAGAAATGACTTGGAAGAAACCTCGTTGATTTAAATATAAATACTATGATTCATAAGACATTCTTAAAGAACTAAGACCTATATTACAAACAAGGTATCATATCGCAACACAGATACTACTCACTAGTCTGAGGTCCCAAAGCCATCACTGATAACGCTCAAAGTTATAATGACTATTAGCAGCGGCGTGCCTTAAATGGGGAAATTAAATCATAGTTATTTACGCATAGTAAGAATCATTCAAATATAATAAAAATGTTATATCGGACCACATTTGGTAACAATGTGCTTAAATATTAACTGGAGTTTCTATAGCATCCATAGTGTAGAGTAGAGAAGTTTAGTGCAGTGTAATGCAGTTTAGTGCAGTGTAGTGTAGTGTATGATATGAGGTTGCATTCGCACTGAGCTTTTTTACAGTCTTTTTGCGGAAAAAAATGTGTTGGTTATGTTCATAATAGTGCTGTGCAGGATAGGATAAAAACAAACTTGTTCGAATAATTATATTAACATTTTTACAGTCTTTTTGTGGACAAAATGTGTTGCATATGTTCATAATAGTGTTGTGTAGGGTAGGATAAAAACAAACTTGTTCGAATAATTACATTAACGATAAAACTATTGTATACACATATTTCAAATGTGTTAACTTATGTTACATCATCAAGACGTGTCACCACATTGTCTTTTACAACCATTGCCGCTTGATCTATTACTTGGTACTCTACGTACCAACCATTGGTACATATTCTATAACTTGAATCTCTACTTACCAACCATTTGCACATGCCCTAATACATTGATCTCTACTTATCAACCGTAAGTAAATTTCCTTATTAAAGATTCACTACGTACCAACCATTGTCACATGTCCTAATATATTAATCTCTACATACCAGCCATACGTACATGTCCTAATACATTGCTCTCTACTTACCAAACATAAGTACATGTCCCTATACATCTACTTACAAACCATAAGTAGATCTCCTTATTCAGGATTCACTACTCACCAACCAATAGTACATGTTCTCTTATATGACATTCTCTTTACAACAATTGGTATATGTTCTATTATGTTGTGGCATGTGTGGGCTCATTTTTAGCCACATCAACTTACTTTTTTGACAATGACATCAACATGTGACTGTGGTGTGTCATTCATTACCCACCCCACACTTAAATGAGAAAAGGTTGTTTAAGTTCGAATGTTTTATGTTTGATCCAAAGGCTGTTGTAAGATGACGCAATATCTAGAATTTCTTTAGAAAATGGTTCTCATATAGGGCCGGCATTTTTCCTAGCAGAGGGCGAGAGATTTGTTTTTTCATTCTTAACATATATGAGACATTTTATAATTTCAATATTGTACTCTTTGTGTCAAATTACTATTTGTATCTTTAGCTGGTACCATTTCACTTGCTATGTTGTTACACTTTTTGGTTTCTGTATTTAAAGTTCTATTTTCATTGCATATTTAAATTGAGTAATGTTAGTATCACTAGCATCGGTAACGTTTTCTTTGCATATATTATTCTCTTATTCCTTCGTTACGTATTGTTCATGAAACGAATAGAAACTTTAAAAAATATATATCAAATTTTGAAATCCAGAATTGTACGCAACAAATTTATGATACTCTACTTTCAAGGAAGTTATACATGTTCCATTAATTTATACTGCACTTACCAACATTTGGTATGTCCAAAAATATAATACTCTACTTACCTTAAATTGGCACATGATCTGATTCTTGATTATACTATTCTACTTACTAAAAATTGGTATATGTTATAATAATTGATACTCTCCTTACAAGCCATTTCATGTTCTAATATATAAAACTATTTACAAAATTTCGGCACATGTTCTGATAGACTAATAATTGATAATCTACTTACAAATTATTGGTACATGGCCTAATAATACACGTTACTTTACTTACCAAAAATGACAGGTAGTAAGTATTTAACAATACTGTTGGTTCTAAATGGGAAGCTGGTTATCTTAATGAGTTGTATGCCTTCAGCCATCATGCTGAATTGTGCAGCAAGTAAAAAATATTGCAATAGCGCAGCCACGGCTTTGCACAGCACCTGTCAGAAAGATACAATTTAATATAATTTTAAAACTTTTCAAAAACACACTGTTGCACAAATTATAAATTTCCAGCAAAACACAATAATATATGTAACTTAGTTTATATAAAAAAAATGTTCATGTTTTATTCTATTCTATGTCGTATTTATTACATTATATAATATTATTTTTACTCTATTCCCATGTCAATGCAAACATAACGTCAATTTTCCCAGTGTCACGGAGAACACTACTTCTTTATTCCCAATGTGACTTCAGTGTTTCAAGCTGACATACTGTAGCATTATTTCAAACACTACTTGACTTACTACTTCTCTATTCACAATGTGACTGCAGTGTTTCAAGCTGAAATAGCAAAACGAGGTATGTGGAAGCTTGAATAAGAGAAGAAAAAGACAAAAAGATGAGGACATTTCGGTTCGGCATAAAGCCTTCCTCAGCAAACAGTACAAATGAAAAAGCACAAAGAACAGAGCACAGTAATCAACTCACGAAATAGCCATTGTTGTCGCCGGAAGTGTGAGCACCGGAAGCGATAGAATATAAATATTGACGCTGTAAAAAATAAGGTCCACTATAATAATGGACCAGAATATCCAGGGATACATAAACACACAGCAATAAGAAA